CGAGGCACTTGGTGATTGGATAATGTTGAACTATCTCAATAATATTAAGGAGAACTAACGTTGATGTCACAATATCATTTTCGGATTGGTCAATTTTAAGTCTAACGTCCATTTGATCCGCTACGCTAAAAAAAAATGTTTTCGGCTGTTGCCATGGTAGGACATGAACGTGAAGCTAACATCGCGCGATCGGTTTATAACTAACACCGGGCCCCGTATACGAAGTCTAGTCTTTAGAAGTCACTTCACTTTCTTACTTACCACGTAATCTGTTTTGCGATAGTATTTTCTAGAATGAAGGCAGCATTTACAGTTCATTCGTTCAAAATTCAAAGTTGCGTTGGGATGATGTTGATACAGTGTAACAATGTCGTCGCCGGTGATCTCTTGTCAGTGTGCAACGTAGCCAGAATAAAGGCATGGTCATTTGAACACTGCTTTTACAAGACTGGTGAGGATGTAATACAGTTGTGGCAAAAGTATTTGAAAATCAGTTATTTGGCTGTTGCCATGGCAGCCGATGGTCATGATTTTTTTCCCAATTAGTGACGGTACGACCTGCCTGTCAAGTATGAACAAAATCAGCCAAGCCAAAATCGCAGAGGAGTTAAAAAGCCATTGCTAGTGAGAAGTTACCCAAACTTTGAGGTCAAATTTCTCGGTAATGAAAATAGACATAAAAAAACAATATTAACTTTTTGCCCACAGTCAACCTGTGTAAAATGAGCTGTGTCCGTGCTTTTCAACACTAGAATTGTAGGGCGAGATACATTTGAGGTATTCAAAAAATCATTTTTTTGGCTATTGTCATGGAAACTTTGGGCCAGAATTTGTTTTCAGCTTTTACAACCTACTAGAGTGAAGGTGTGACCTGCCTGCCAAATTGGAACCAAATCGGCCCTGCCAAAAAAATCACAGAAGAGATAAAAAGCAATTCCGGGTGAACAGTTACCCCAACTTTGGGGTCAAATTGCTCAGTAATAAAAAAAAAAGATATCAAAAATTCAAATTTGTAACTTTGTGCCCAAGCTGAGTAGAATGAGCTATGTCTGGGATGTTTTATCCTAAATGTGTAGTAGGAATTACATTTGGCGCGAAGCTATTCAAAAATCAGTTTCTTGGCTTTCGCCACGGTGGGCCAATTTTTTCCCCCAAATTTTACCTACTAACTAGGATGAAGGTGTGACCTACCTGCCAAGTTTGAGCGAAATAAGCCAACAAAATCACAGAAGAATTAATATATAAAAACACGGAAATCACACACACACAAGAGATTTTAAGGGCAATCCTAGCGGAGCAGTTCGCCAATAAAGACCAAAGCTTAATGCCCTTGGAATTTTTTAAGGTGAATGACCTGCTTTTAACAACCTGTGAAACTCGTACTTTTCTATGAAAATACTTGTATATTAGGATGTAGATATACTACCATAACCATAATTACAAATGGATTGTCCAGTACACTAGTGTGTGACATGATGTGTTTCTAAAATTTCACTGTGCATAACAGATACGTTGCCAGACATTGCCAACACTTGCAGGGATCCAGGGTAACAACATAATCTGTCAATTATTACCCCGTTTTCGGCCAAAACAAGCAGCCTGTCGGCTGAGATAGCTCCGCTGTTATCAATGCACATTTCACTTAAAGAACTGAAGATATCATTAGAAAATGAACAATATGTATAGTATCAAAGCAACCGAACTTGCTGTTTTCAACAAGAATTCAAAAATACCACTTTTCACCAAAAATCACAAAAAAATCATCAAAATTAAAGAATTGAAAATATCATCACAAAAATATCTGAGAGAGGTCCACATGTAGTACCTATAAATGTAATATCAAAGCAATTGGACTTGCGATTTTTTAAAAGAAACGGTTTTTAACCACTTTTTAATATCACTTTTTACCAAAAATTACAAAAATATTCACTAAAATTAGAGAATTAAAAATATCATCACAAAATTAACAAATCTGAGAGAGGTCCACGTGTAGTGCCTATATATGTAATATCAAAGCAATCGGACTTGCGTTTTTACCAAAAATGACAAAAATATTCACCAAAAATAGAGAATTTGAGATTTTGACATGAAATGAACAAATCTGAGAAAGAACCATCCAATGTACTTGCATATCAAATTTGAAAACATTCTGACTTGCGGTTTCAAGGAAGAAGTTGAAATTGTAAAGTTGACGACGACGACGACGACGGACAATCAGTAATATGAACAGCTCCGCTGTGTCGACTTTGTCGCCAGCAGAGCTAAAAATTTGGTTGTTGTCGCTCGCCCATTGAATAAATCAGCGCATACCTAATGTTCAAATCGGTTTACAATTAATTGTTTAGGTATTAATTAGCAGTAACTCGACTTGTTTCTTAACCGTCGTTTTTCAAAATAAATGTAAATTATTACAGTTGATGAGCAATTGATGACTGAAGACGCCTAGTACATTGTATTATATACTTGATGAACCGATGTTGCCTTATTATCCTCTATTATCTACTATATAGACACGATCTTAGTGGTTTTCTGTACAAATGTTCAGTTGTTAGTACTGTCGAAATCTGCTGTCAGTTTATCTTCAAGGTTTGTATTTTATCTTAAGTATTTCGTTGTTTTGTAATCGTAGGTATAATATTCATTGCGAGGTATATAATTAATAATTTGGTAACCAGAACATTACTCGGACTAGTCTGCCAGATAGAAGATTCGGTTTCGGAATTGTGTACATAGACTATGTACATGCCCTATACTGCCATTGTGGTATTATCCTGATAAATACGCTTTCTCTGGTCATTTCTGTATGATGTAGTATAGTTATAGTGGAGTGGATAAGATCTTGTATTAACGTTTTATTTATTTACACACTAGTTAAGACGTTAAATTTGACACGGATTAATACGTTTTATGGTAACACAGGCAGGTTTAATCTGATCACACCAGTTTTCAAAATCCTATCTTCCAGTATATGTTCATTATTTTAATGTAATTATTCGCTTTTGTAACTGACATACCACAAGTGACTGGGTGGTTTGAACTTCATTGAATGTTCTATTTAATGACGGGATTTTATATAACGGGTACAGCAATGTCGCAAAAGCATGGCAACAACTTTCAAATCTTCATGTCATGCCTATCTCGGGGTGATTTATAAGTTTTGAAAAAATATATTGATTTGGTGCTAATTAACGACAATATAAATTATGCAACACGAAAAAGTATCTTACACCAGTGAAAATCGAGCTCTAGTTGCTGCAGAAATATAGTAGAATATTTTAATGTTTTTTTTAAGATAACTTAATGGGTTTCGTTTCATTTCCTCAATTATATGGCTGTGGTGATTTGAAGCTATAGGGATGTTCTTGATAATACAGAGCTCAACATGTTCTTAATATTACAGAACTCAACATGCCTTTTCATTGTGCAAATAACTAAACGTCATACTGTAAAATACTTTATTTTCGGTTGAAATTAATTTTCGCTGAAGGAATGATTCAGTGAAAATAAAATCCAGCGAATATACCCCTTTTCTTACATTTTACATTCAACTCATCAAAAATTATTGAAAATAAATTCCATACAGAAGACCAACAATCTCCTTTCAGCGAAAAAGTATTCCATCTAAAAAAAAGTATTTAACAGTAGTCTCAAATCATCACATTGGAAAAGAAATTATATTAGTTATGGATTTTTGTAAAATAGGCCGAAAACATTGCTTTGACCATGCTCAGTAATTATAGCCTACATACTTAAGTGTCCATGAGCTTGTATTTTCCGGTTCCAATATTCCACAGTTGGTCATGTTATTTCCACTTTACTCTCAAATTAGTGTGAACGCAAACTGGACTCATTCTGCCATAAATATTTTCTGCATTACTATTGATTATTGGAAGGGAGGCCTTTCAGACAAGATCTTAGAGCAATTAACACACGGTCAACCTCCAAGTCAACACAACAAATGGACAAGCACACCACAATAAAATATCAAATCAGTGAGAGAAAGATATATAAACCTCAGTCCATACAGTCAAGAAGTGATATCAAGTTTCTCAAAATGAGCACTTTATAATGAATTGATGTCACATGAACTACTTTATATACTTGTGGCATTTATTTCTTTATTATACAAGCTTCAAAAAAACGCTAGTAAAAAACAAGCTTAAAGAGAACATTAGTAAAAACAATCTTCAAGAAAATTCTACTATGTATAGTAGTCTCGTTATGCTATTTAGGAATAATGAAACTTCAATTGAAATTGTAAAGAGAATTAGGTACCGGTATATCTTGTTATTATATGAAAAATAGTGAAAACAGATTTACACATTACACGTAGTAATAAAATAAATTTAAATAGTGGGTTTTTGGAAGCACATGATTGTTATACAATAAAGTAGATAAAGAAACAGACAAATACACACACAAACTCAAAACATTAATTGGTAAAAAAGGAAAATATTTCATGTTAACCTTTTAGATGATTTTATTATCATTCAATGTGAAATGGTTAGATGCATATTTAGACATGTAATGCTGCTATTCATCTCATTGCTCATCTCTTCACTAGTCATGATAGCTTTGTTTGATCAAATAATTTAAAAATATTTTCTAGTATATATAATTCAAATATACTTTTTAAGATTATAACTGTTTTCACGAAATGCATGTGTTTCGCCTTACATTCTATTAAATTATTAAAAGGTCTGTGAGGGAACGTGATACACCACAACTTTCATATTATATGAGAGAAATCTTACATAAATTCAGCATGCATATTTTTAATGATTTATAATATATATGTAACGACAATATACAATTGAACTGAAAATGCATTAAGATATATAATATGTGGTTCCATTGAAGTCATATGACATGATTTATCAAGTAAACGCAATGAGATTTCCAAACAGTTTCCTAATGATTTGAACTGTATAGCGAACAATATACAAAAAACTTTTGATCAAAAACAATATTTTGTTTTTGCACTTTTAAGATTAAATAAATCACACAATTATACTGTTGTACTGAATTAAAATAGGATCTCCTGATTTCTTGATGGTGCGCAATAATTGATGAGGAGTTTTTATTTTAACAGTGGGCTGTAATGAATATATGCATGCCACTGATTCAAACACATTGTCAGGCACTACTTTTGAAATGAGTGGCTTACTAGTTCCCAATGTATTTTCTGAAGAGAAAACAAAAGTAGTAAAATATATGGATTACATAGAATATTAAATGTAATATTATAATAATATTTTTGTTTACCTGAAAGTTTGTTGAAAAAAGAAGAAATACCCTCAAAGTTTATTCATGATTTAAATGAATATTTAGTAGCACGGGAACACAAAACATATGATGGCTAAGCAAGTGAGGTTGGCATCAATATTACATTATTTACAATTATTTTGAGGCAAAGTACGGTTATATAATATTTAACGTATATAACACTTACCATGATTCAATGATATGCCAGAGTAAGGTGAATTGATGATAATCCATAGACGTGTTATGTCCTTGTGTTTATATAGTTTCGATGGAACTAGAAGTAAAAAATAAGAAAATATTTTCAAACAAAAAGAAAAAAAAAAACTATCAATCAAAAACTAATAAGGTATGTGAATTATTCTAGGGCATCTATATAACAAGTTTTCACTAAATCTGATGAGCAGACATAAATACACACCTAAGCAGTTAATTCTAAAGATGGAGAAAATATGGAGGTATTTAATATATTAGGTGATGAAAGTATGTAATATTGAAAACACATACCCATCTATTCGACAGACAAAAAAGTAAAACATGTATATATAAATTTGACAGACAAAAAAGGTAAAACAAATATTTACCATTAATATTGATTGTATGCTGTGTATCATTGTCTTTTAAAGGTGCCTGAACTTTACACTTTAGAGCTTGGAAATCATCGATGGCAATTTTCGGCAAAACATCTGAAAAAACAATAGGTGGAATTTTTAATAATTTAATATATTTGGTGATGAAAATATATAATTTATAAACACCCATCAAATTGACAGACAAACAAATCTAAATAGATATTTACCATCATTACTGATTTCATGTTCTTTATCATTGTCTTTCAAAGTTGTCTGATCTTCACACTTCTGGACTTGGAAATCACCCATGGCAATTTTTGGCAAAACATCTGAAAAAACAACAACACCTAATTATATATTTACAATGTAGGTAGAGAAATTAGAGATATTTACTATTGGTGGAATTTTAATATGTAATACATTTGTTGGTAAAAGAATATAATATTAGAAACACTAAGTTCATATTAAGTTGACAGACACAATAACTATCAGCATTTTTTACCATCATTATTGTCTGAACTGTTCTCTAACAACTTCTTGCCTTTGTCTTGGTATTGGAGAGATTTGCTTATTTTACCCAGACTGATATATACATTTGCAATCGTATAGTAAGCTGAAATTAGTTTACAAATAAAAAGAATAAAATTAACTATAGTAAAAAATATCAAATGGTCAACATGAAATTAGTTTACCACTAATCCATTTATAAATTATAAACTTTTTTGTGTTTTACCAGTAAAAGTGCCACAGAATCGAGTCTCAATCAACAAAACGTGCAATTTTTTAAAAGATATTTACTTATATTACTGATAGCAAATATGAACACTAAACTATTAATAATGAAAAGATTCTTTCCACTCTTTGTACGTATTCTATCTTCTTGATGTAAATAAAATATGAAACACACACTTTACCATCAGATAGTTTCTTTCTACTGTCTTCATCACTCAGTGGGCTCAGCATCATTTGGGATATTCTGAATGAAGTCTCGCACACTGGTAAAGCTGATCTTGGTCTTTGTTTAATGACTCTGAGATAGTATCCGATGCTATCAAGTAATCGCACAGGATCTTCAAACTTTACGTCATCTTGTTGCACTTTCTTTATTAATGAATAGGTGAAATGTGTTTGCAATTCAGTAACGTGAAGAACAAGATTTTCTTCTTCTGGAGACAAGAGCTGTAATACTGGTTCATATTCTTCCAGGTAAGCTTTTGTCAACACTAATGTAGCCATGTTCAAAGCCCGCATATAGTCACAAAAGTTCATTTTTAGGGTCCCTCTCACCTGGAGTTGCACAGCTTTGGGGATACTGAATGACGAATGTTCAACATTTCTCGACAGCAATGCCAAGTTATGGTATTGTAAAATACCAAGCACTTCTTCTACTAATTCCTCTTTTGGTTCTAGCTGCAATTTTGTTGTATTGTTCGTCTTCAAAAGTAGTAGTCCTCTTTTCACAATGTCCACAGATATGACATCTGACATGAAAGATGAAAACTGCAGAACAGACAGTGCAGCTGGTTTCAATCTTCCAATTGATTCAAGTTTTGAGGGCCAGACATTGTTAAGTTTCCATTCGGAAATCAGTTGCATTTCATTATTAGGTGTATTTACTTCTAATGCATCACCTGTTTTGTGGTTCTTTTGACCTTTTACATCTTCCACCACTTCATCAATAGAAACTCCATGGGCTTTATGATCAGTAACCAAGATACTCTGCTTTTCACTTTCTTCATATTCAAGATATGATTGTTTTTTTGATTTGATGAGGGAACCAGTTATGCTTAAAGCTAGAGGCTGGCCTTTTAAGGAATCCACAATTCTACAGAAAGATTTGTAATTCTTTTTGTCATATTCTTGCATCTCTCTGATTGTGATGAACACATCGACCGGAGTGACTCCTTGAGTACACAACATCAGTTTCTGAGATGCAGCATTTGACAAGCGAGGAACTGCGATTTCATCATAATGTTGTGATGTGTCTCCATGGAAACCAGATGACCTAGATGTTATGATAATGTGACCTTTACTTGGAAATGTGGGAAAGTAGTGCTTGATGAGTTCATAATCTGTAATATCATCTAAGATAATAAGCCAACCAGGATTGCAGTCCAACCATTCCAAGACTTTTTTTTTCATCTCTCTGGCAATGTGAGTACTTTCTTCAGTGGGTGAATTTAATTTCAAGTCGAGATGTTTAAACTGTTGAAATAGAAATACATTGAAAACAAAATATAAACTTATGTCATTTGCAACTATCTTGCAGTTGAAGTGAGCCGTCAGTTATTTTTAGAGTTCCCACAATATACTGTGTATGTACCCAGAGTGAATAAAAGCCCATGCACGCCTAAGATCAGGTGCTAGTAGGGTAGAAATACACAATTTTGGAGCATTTTTACTACTGAAATGGTCACTAGTCTACAATTATGAATCACATTACAAAACAAATGCATGTGCACATTAAATTTAGAATAATATATTTTTGAGTTGTCATGGTAATTGGTCTAATTGATTCATATGAGTCAATTGGCTCTGGTATAGCATTTTGAATCAGAAATGGCATAGAAAATGCACAAGGGTATTAGTTCCATGAGGATTCATTTATTGAAAATAAATCCACCTATGCCTGAAATTTGGCTTTGAAATGATTGATTGTTTTATTAAATTAAGCATTAAATTGGCAACCAGTCGACCATTTTGTTTCTGAATCGCAGAGCCAATTGATGTGTACCGAGACAGGTAATCTTTCTAGCTGCCAATCTTACCATGTAATGAAATCCATGATCCAGTGAGGTCAAAGTTGAGGCATTTATCCAGTATCTACCAGCAGGGTACTCCATATGGTAGCGGTGAACATAGTTGATGGCTATTTGAGTTTTACCAGATCCATCAGCACCTGTCAAGACCTGCAGAAAAGTAATACTTGTGTTTAAGAGACTTGTTTCAACAAAAGAATATATATAAGGGTGTAATTACACAGTTTATTATACGTACATGTACCAAGTTGTCTTTGGAGACATCTTCCACAATATCTTGTTTACATCTCTTGTACGATTTATGGATATTCTCCAGAAGAACGTCACGACCAATGAATGGATCAACAGGTGGTGGTGCAAGTCCTGAAACCAAATTCAGACAAGGCCAACACTATGAACCCACATGTTCATCAAAGGTTTATATAAAGTATTGAGATCAAACAAGTATGAAATTTTGAAATCAAAATTTACCATAACCATTTGTAGAACCAAACATGATTGTGGTTATTATTATTATTATGAGAAGGCAAAAAAACATATTTTATGAATATGGACACTATAGAAACAGAAATGAACCCTAATATTTTTTTTTATTAGATATTTGTACTAGTATGGTACTCATGGAAATATGTGTTTTTCATCTCATTATCAGCGGAACCTATATGTGCATGTATGAAAAACACAATGTACATAGAGATGAAATATGAGTCAAATTTACCTGTTATCAGCGATGTTGAAGCACCAAGTTCACTTCTTGAATCTGAATTGGATTTTTTTACAGAGTATAGTATAAAACATAGTGAAAGTTAAAAATAAGGATATTTGCAATTACTATAGCAAACAAATTTGAACTGTGCCTGTCTAAAAACTTTATTGAAATGAAAGAAAGCAGTCCTGAGTCTGTAACCACAGACATACAAGTGATTTTTATTATTTATAGTTATTCTGTAATTTATTGGTAATTTTCAATCAAAATTGGACAGATTGTAGAAATTTTGCTTGTCAAATAAATTTATGAATTTTTTTATCTGTCTAAAATGTGAAGTACCTGTCTAAAATGACAAGTAGACAGATGACTGGCTAAAAGCCTGGTTGCAATACATTCATGGAATATACAGCATGTCAAGATGTGCTCATAGAGGTACAGTGTTCCTCACAGCAAACTTCCTCATAGCAGTATGTAAGTTGGAAGAAATGGAAATCCTGTTGAAGAGAGAGATCATACTGTTAACGTCATGGTCAACAAACATGTGCTTTGATTTGACAACTCACCGATTTCCGTGATAACTTGTTGAAAATCTTCTTCAAAATATTCCACCTTTAGTTTGTCAGTATCACCAATCACAGGTTCAGCAATGTTTTTTAGTATTTTCAATAACTCTCCACTTTTCAGTTTCTTCAATAATTCCTGTGCTTGTTCTTCACTTTCTATTTCTAGATCCAGCAGTATACAGCCTTTACGAATGTCAGTAATTTTGCATCCAAGCTGACTCGTCAACTGTTCAGTAGTCAGCTGTTCAAAGTGTTCAGAAAGTGTATCAAGTGATTCTTCATCAGTCCCATCCAGAACCAATCTCACTAAAACAATTCAGAATATAAAACCACTATCAAACACCTTCAGGCACCATTCTTAAAATAGTTCCATTTATAATCTGCTCTTTTCCGTAAAAAACAAAAACTAGAAGCAATATGTCACACTTTGTAGGCTGGATCCAAAATGAAGTTTGAATTCAGTGAAAATTTCACAAAATGTAAAAAATATTTACCCCATTTTGAGCGGGAAAAAAATTGGTACTCAACGGGTTAAACCAAGAAGTACCAATGCAACTTTACCTGTATTTTCTCTTCTTTGCCCCTTTCCAATTTCTACAAATAAGGAGAAAATATGAATTAGAAATGGAATACATGTATAGGGGTTTTTATGGTAAAGGTGCGCATGAGTTTGAAAGATGCAAAACACAGGAAAGTCAGCCAAAATATTGTGAAAAGAAAGAAAACATAGCAAAACTAGCAGCCTGTGTCTGAGATAGCTCCGCTGTTATCAATGCACATTGCAATTAAAGAACAGAAGATATCATTAGAAAATGAACAATATGTATAGCATTAAGGTAAAGATGCAGTTTACCTGACAGGTATTTTAATTAGTTAATTTGGAAACCAAGATGACCTCTCTTGTCCACAAAACTATATATTTTCGGAAAGCTGTATGAATTTTAAAATTTTGTTATTATTTTTTTTATGAACACTGTACTTTGAAATATGCACAAAAATGTGCTTTTTTGGTCAAAAGTGATAAAAAAAAATTAGCTTCTAAACCATGCTTCTGTTTCCTGTCAAAATTGGTTTATGGGTACATCTGTTTACTATGAAGAAAGTGCCGTCTTGAAAACTGTCTACCAGTTGTCAATTTTGCAGGGCAGCAGCTCAAATTTCAGTACTTCAAGTTTATGCATAAATTAACACCCAGGCTAGTTGTCTGTACGATTGTTGTAACACTGTTCAACCAAAAACAATGCCCCAACGGCGTTTTGAAGATAAACACATTGTCAATCATTTGTGAAAATTTCAAAACAAAAGGTCAAAGCGTCTAGGAGCTATTTAAGTTCTGGGATGTGCACTAAAAAGAAGCTGAGATACTTGCTAATTTGCATAACAATTCACTCAGTAAGAAGTTTGCTAATGCTCATATTTAAAATGGCTGTAACAGTTCCAAATTTAAATGTATTATCGTTTTGTTAAAAGTTAAATACAGTGCATAATATGGAGATCCCGTCATTTCTTTTTTTCACCATGTTTCTTTTTTATTATTTATGTACAGCCTTGCTAAATCTTGCTAAGCATTCAAAAGAGAGAATGTTTGCACCTGTTATCTTATGTTCCACTATTCACAATTCTACAAAATTTTAACAGACTGTTTGGATAATAAAAGGCAAAAAAAAAAAAAATTCACTCCCAAGTGCCCACAAACCTGCATCTCTACCTTAAAGCAATCAGACTTTTTATAACTTTTTATCAAAAATATTCATTAAAATTAGATAATTGAAGAACAAAATCATCACGAAATGAACAAATCTGAGAAAGGTCTACCTGTAGTACCTATGTAGTATATATAATATCAAAGCAATTGGACTTTCGGTTTTTAACAAGAAGTTGAAAATATCTTTTAAACCAAAAATGACAAAATATTCATGAAAATTAGAGAATTAAAGATATCATCCTGAAATGAACAAACCTGAGAGAGGACCACATGTAGTACCTAAATATGTAGTATCAAAGCAATTGAACCTGCAGTTTTTAACAAGTAGTCGAAAATATCACTTTTTACCAAAAATGACAAAAATATTCATGAAAATTAGAGAATTAAAGATATTATCACAAAATAAACAAATCTGAGAGAGGTCCACATTTAGTATCTATATATGTAATATCAAAGCAATCAGACTTGCGGTTTTTAACAAAAAGATGAAAATATCACTTTTTACCAAAAATGACAAAAATATTCATCAAAATTAGAGAATTAAAGATATCATCACGAAATGAACAAATCTGAGAGAGGTCCACATGTAATACCTAGATATGTAATATCAAAGCAATTATACTTTCGGTTTTCAACAAGAAGTCGAAAATATCACTTTTTACCAAAAATGACAAAAATATACATGAAAATTAGAGAATTAAAGATATCATCACGAAATGAACAAATCTGAGAGAGGTCCACATGTAATACTTACATATGTAATATCTAAGCAATCGGACTTGCGGTTTTTAACAAGAAGTCGAAAATATCACTTTTTACCAAAAATGACAAAAACATTCACCAAAATTAGAGAATTAAAGATATCATCACAAAATGAACAAATCTGAGAGGGGTCCTCCCAAGGTACCTACATACTAAGTATCAAAGCATTCGGGCGAAAATAGCATTTTTGACCAAAAATGACAAAAACATTCGCTATAAATAAGACAATTGAACATATCCACATGAAATGAACAAATCTGAGAGAGAACCACCCAAGGTACCTTCCTAGAAAGTTTCACAGCTATACAGTTTGTTGTTTTTGTTTGTTGTTTTTAAGAAGAAGTTAAAAATGTAAAGTTGACGACGGTGACGGTGGCGGCGGGCGGCAGCCGCCGGCGGACAATCAGTAATACTATAAGCTCCGCTCGACTGCGATGACAGCGGAGCTAAAAATGTATATACAGAGCACAGCATTTTTTTAAAACGCCTCATAATCAGAAACAAATTATTTTAGTCTTACCCAATTCATCAATGACATCCACGAAATCTTGTTCAACAATCACTACATCTAAAGTTGGTTCTCTAACATCTCCAAGTACTTCATCTGTTAGGAGTAGTTCTCTCAGTTTGGATGCAGTTTTACTATTTTTCAGATCAAGTAGTAAATTATTTGCATCCACTGTAGTCTTCGGGTAAGGTTGTAGAATCACGCAGCCATAGTCGATTTTTATTTTAGTAGTGTGTAGAATAGTCTTCAGTTGGTTATATTTCTCTGAGTTCAACTCTTCATGTCGATGCAGTGATTTTAATAACTGGGATGATATATGTACATCACAATCAAGTATGATCCTCACTGGAAAACAATTTTTCAAGTTAACAACAATTCCAACGATATTGATGACAGACAACTACCACTTTGATGCTTTGATCTTTGATTTAATTGCATGAAACTAAAAAAAACATCCATTATCTTGAACTACTGTACACAATGTAAAGCACTGATAAAATTGCACTTCAATTATTTAATGACTGTTAAATACTTCAATCAGTACAAAGCATTCATGTTTAATACTAGTACTATTTTGAGTTAAAGTTAACTGACCAGCCTTATGAGGCCTTGGGTGTTCTCTTAGTTTGAGTTCTTCATATTCTTCTCTTGATCTTACTTCAGATTCACTAGCTGAAAATAAAATAGATGAATAAAGGTCTATTAAACACTAGCTATATATCTTTTCACCTCTAAGAATACAACATATTTATTTTCAATTGAATAGTAACTGAAAAATGGACAATCACCAATATTAACAGATTTGTTGTCAGTGAATATTATGAGAATACAGCAAAATATGCACTAAGGCAGTACAATGAACAATGGTTGACACATTTCTGTACTGCCTGAGTGCATACTTTGCGGTATTCTCATACATCTTTTACCTGCTTGTAGTAATAATTTAATGAGAGATAATAGCCTGAAATGGCAAAGAAGAAAGTTTCACACTGTGTGAACGTTCTCATTTAGTGATGGGACTATATTTCCCACATACGCCGATAGTGTTCATGTGCATCAGAAATAAACGAAAGAAAGTGTTCGAATTTGACATGTAGCACAATTTTTAAATAAGGAAGACGTTTTAATACGTTCGTAACACTTTCCTGATAGGTTTTACGGTTAAGTAAATTCCATTGTTTTTGTTGGTCTCAGATGTATAATAATCAATATTTATCTTAATAAATTCTGTTACCCAAGTTAATCTGACTGCCAGGCTGTACTTCAGTGATAGAACCAAGTGTCAAGATAATTGTTGTCCCTGAAAATTAAGAAGAACACAGAATTTAATTAATATGACTCTATAATTTGTTCACCTTGAAGTAAAATGTATCAATTCCAATACACTCTAAACATCAAATTCATGACTTGCCTATTGGTCTCTGAGTATCATCTGCAGTAACCTGCATGGGTGTTCCAGGAGCTGGTAGCGGTTGATGAGAGGAACTGGTCTGCGTTCCTTCTTCATGCTGTATAGTTTTGGATGTGTTCATATGAGTTAGCAGCTTTAGAACTTTGTTTAAATTCATTTCCATGGCTTCCAGTTTGTTTTGCATACCATCAATGCTTTTACTAAATTTTGCATCAATACTATCAATCTTATCTGCTAACTGATTCTGCCGTTTTCTAATGTCCTCCTCTTGTTCAGAACACTGTTGTGTACTCTTCTCGTTTGCTGATAACACTTTTTGAATTGTATCGTGTTCTAGCGTAAACTTTCGACTCACTTCTTGCTGGTGTTGCTTTGTGGTTTTTTCAATCATCTGTTTTATCTTTTCGTACATCTGTTGACATTGTTTTTCGTGTTTTGTGGAGTATGCATTCACTATTTCATATAGTTTCTTTGCGTGAACTTCAATCTTTTCATCCATTGTATCAACACGTGCATCATGCTTTTTGAACACATCGTGTAATTTTTCAATCGCTACATGATTATCTTTTAAGTGCTCTATAACACTTAATTTTTCCTCACTAATATGTTTGAAAGACGAGTTACTGAGTTCACTCTCTTCACTCTTTAACACGATACTGTCTTTTTCTGAGCTTGTCTGTTTCTCCATTACTTTGTCCTTCTCTATTGAAAAAAAGAAAAGATTTTCAAAAATGATATTAAATTCTGATATTATTATTCTGTAACTGCATGAGTGATATAATTTAAAAGAAACACTATTTGTTCTGTTTCATTATTGAATAACTTATTCTTGAATGAGTTGATAAATCTGATAAATTAGAAGTAACTTACAAACCAATAAGACTAATTTTGAGTCTAACCAGCATGCATGTTACTTTCCTACCTGTCTGTGTTCTCGTCAAAAAAGTAAAAACCTGAGAAATATTATTTGGTTGCTTTATTTTTATTTTTATAACTACCAAAATACTTTGTAAATAAAATGATTTTAAAACCTACCGTCCTTCACTTTGCCAGGCATCACAATACTCTCCTTTTCTTCTGGATTTTTATCTTCAGACTCAGCTCGCTTTGTGTCATTTTTCTTAACATCTTTACATTCCTCTTTTTCTAACACATTAAGGTTTTGTTTATTCTTAGTAGATTGCATTATTGCATCTGAATGTATGAAACCTTATATCTAATGAACAATAAAAAAAAA